CCCCAAAACCCCAAAACCCCAAAACCCCAAAACCCCAAAACCCCAAAACCCCAAATTAGCTAAAACTTATTGATTAAGAATAAATATTCATATGGAAATAAAAAGGTTTGACTATAGTTTTACAGAGACAATGGAGTTTCCTTCTATTACGGATGTGCTGAGGGAGGATATTGTTGTAGAAAAAGAAGAGGAACCGGAGAAATATAATCACTGTTTATCAGCAGACAACTGAGTACGGAAATTTTGTATAAAAGTATCTGAGTCCTGGTGGTTTGAGACTGTAGTGATCATTATCATTTTGATTAACTCTATTGTTCTTGGTATTTTTGATTATGAAAATCCTGGCGCTAATTCAATCCGAAATCACATTGTTATTTACAGTGAACCATTATTTTCAGCTGTGTTTTTGGCAGAATGTGTTATCAAAATTATAGCACAAGGATTCGTAATGGGTCCGGAAACATATCTCCGAGATGGATGGAACATATTAGATTTTCTGGTTGTATGAACTAGCATACTCTCGTTTATTCCGTCTATAGATAACTTATCATTCATCAGAATGTTCAGGCTTTTTAAGCCATTAAGAAGTTTTTCTTCATTTCCTGCTATGAAATCAATCGTTGGAACGATCTTGGATTCTTTGTCAAAGTTAGGAGAAATTACTATCGTAGCTGTCATATTCTTTTATATCTTTGCTATCCTCGGTGTCACTCTTTGGGCTGGAAGCTTACACTATCGGTGTTATACTACACCAAAACCTGTAAACGGAGATTGGATTTTGTTGGAAAATTATACCCGACCATGTAATGCACATCAGTGCCCTGAAGGGTCGTATTGAGGTTCTCTGGTCAAACAATATGATGATCACCCTGAAACACTGAATCTTAATGGAGAAAGGTAAATTCAAATTTAGAAAATAAAGATTCTCTTGTTTTCTAATAATTCTCACATTTTTATAGTGTCTACAGAGATTTGAGAATAAGGGAGCTACAATACGGTCAGGTGAATTTTGATAATATCTTCTCTGCTATCATTACTGTTTTCCAGTGCTTAACCTTGGAAGGATGGAGTGCAATTATGTATAATTACCAAGACGCCTCTGGTAGCTTTATAGCAACTATATATTTCATCGGCTTAGTGTTGATGTGAGCCATTTTATTCATGAACATCATTGTTGCTGTTCTCTTCGATAACTATGACGGGGCTGAACAGGATAATGAGGATGAGGATTTAAAAGAGCTTGAGGAGAAAGCAGAAGAACTTGGACTTCACCCCTCAGTCTCAGATATTGTCATTAAAAACGATATCATAGTTGGTAAAGTGTACTATCTGATTTAATAGATATCAAAACGAAGGCAGGCAAGTTTAGTGGCTTCCAGACTTACTGAAAAAGTTTATTAACTTGGAATAGCAAATTGAAATACCCAGGAGGGAAGTACTTCCAGAACAACTTTGTGAAGTTCATGTATAGACTAGTGAGTCATCCTTCATTCCAGTTGTTCATCTTCATTGTTATTGGGTTCAATACCGTTACTTTATGCCTGGATATGTATACTTTGGGTGATGGGAAAGTCGAAATCAAAGTTCTAGAGTACTTTAATTATGTGTTCATTGCTATTTTTACACTAGAACTAGTAGTGAAACTTATAGGCCTGGGATTTAAGCTGTTCATCATTGATAAATTCAATATCTTCGATGCTTTTATCGTACTAATTTCATATATTGAGCTCATATTTGTTGGAGGAGGTGGAGCTTACACCTCATTAAGAGCTTTCAGACTATTTCGTATTTTCAAAGTATTCAGAGTGGGAAGGCTACGTATCCAGATTGATTGTATAACTAAAACTATTAAGGCCATTCTGCCATTCATATTGCTGTTATTAATTTTCATGTACATTTTCACTCTAATGGGACTGCAATTCTTTGCTGGTGAATTAAAGTTTAATGAAAACGAAGAGCCTGATCCAAATGGGACAAGTCCAAGATACAATTTTGACAACTTTAAAAATGCATTCTTAGTTGTCTTTATCCTCCTGACTGGTGAGAATTGGAATGAGATGATGTACGTCACCATGAGAGCATTACATCCAATTGCTTCTATATACTTCTTTATTGTGATAGTAATGGGAAGCATCATCATCCTTCAGCTGTTAGTGGCTATTCTTCTGAAGAACTTCGACCAATCCCATAAGATTGCGGAGAAATAGAAGGATTATTGACACTATCGAGAGAAAAATTGATGAAGGAGAAAGTGTTAATGAAGCTGTCCAGTCAGTTCTTAAGAAAATAGGTCAGATTAATATGGAAACAGGAGAGATTGATATCACCAAAGTAAGGTTTGGCAAAGAGAAGCTCAAGATCCAGAGTAAGACCCCCAGTCACACTGTTGAGCCCTTGAAGTTACAGAAAAGCTCACCTTCTGGGAAATTTTATAGCCCAAAAGGAGAAATTGAAAGAAGAGACCCTACAAAACAAGATAACCTTAGTCTTTCGTCAAAACCTAAAAGCCAACCGTTTCTTAAGCAAAGGAGTATTATGAAATGGGATAATATGAATAAGAATAATCAGAACCAACAGATATCGTCATTAAAACTGGTAAAACTATTGCTAACAATTAGAAAAATTTGGTATCGGCAAAGCTACTAAAGAAATCAACAGGAAACTTTTCAGATAACTCAAACTCCAAGAGTAATAGACATCCTTGCTTATGTTTAGATAAAAAGGAAGTAACATTCAGACCAGGCCACCAAAGGACCTCAAGCAATCGGCCACTCAAAGAAGACTCTGAAGAGTGTTCACCAAATGACATCTCACTCAGTTTCTCTGTAAGTTCCTCTGGAAATATTCTATCCATAAACAAAAGAGCTGGCTGATAATCTATAGGAAGAGGATGACAGTGATCATCTCCAAGTGCCTAATAGCAGGCCACTTAGCCAATTTGCAAATAGTGAAGGAATGCAAGAGTCCAAGATTGCTTCTGCGATTGGAGAAAAGATTACGAAATCAACAACCAAAAACCTCAAACAAATTGTTGAGGAAAATGAAAGCAGTAGTGAGGAATGTGATGAGGAAGAAGACGAAAAGATGCAAGAGAACCAGCAAAAGAAAAGGGTCATTATTCAAGAACCTTCGAAGAATTTTGACACTCCTCGGCAAGGCTCTGTTAATGATATTTTGAAAGAAGAATCAAAGCAAGAAAGCTCAAGCCAAAGTGACTTCTTTACAGAAGACAAAGATGAGCCAAGCAGTAATAGAATTTGGGAGTATATGAAGCATTCTTCTTGATTTACTTTTCACAAAAATTGGGTAATTAGAGAGACTCTTCTCGGCTTAGTGACTACTCCTGAAGATATTGTTATAACACAAAAGGCTGAATTGAATCCAGAGAAATATGGAATTAAGGATCTCAAGAGATCTCAGTCGTTGATAAACATGCAAATCTACCAAGGGAAGATTATCACTACCAAGAATAGGAAGAACATTTCTAAAATATTTGAATGGTTCATTATCGCAATAATCTTACTTAGCTGTATACTGCTATGTATAGACACTCCTCTGAACAATCCTGATACAGGATTTTCAACATTTTTATCAGTATGAGACATACTGTTCAGTTGCATTTTCATGATTGAGGCATGAATGAAGATCATCGCTTTTGGGTTCTTTAAAAACCATTTCCAAGGTATCACTCCTTATATTTACAATCCATGGAACGTTCTAGACTTCTTCGTTGTGCTCACATCTATTTTTGATATTTATTTCTCTTATGTTGCCAGTGCAGGTTCAGAGAGTGAAAACCTTAATAGTCTAAAAGCTCTGAGAGCAATTAGAGCTTTGAGGCCACTCAGAATGATTAGTAGGAATGAAGGTCTTAAGATAGCTATCCAAGCTCTTCTTTCATCACTTCCAGCTATCGGTAATGTGGTGATCATTTTGCTCTTATTCTTGCTCATTTTTGCTATTCTAGGAGTGAGCTTCTTTAAAGGGTCATTCTACTCTTGAGATTTAGGAGAAGGCTCTGAAAATGATAGTGTGAAATACAGAGACCAATGAACTCAGCAAGGTGGTCGGTGGAAAACCGCAGACAGCAATTTCGATAACGTCCTTATTGCTTCGATCACCTTATTTTCTATAATGACTTCTGAAGGTTGGATCGATGTCATGAGCAACGGAGTTGATTCAACTGGAATTGACAAAGAACCGAAATACAAGAACAATGAATGGGTAATACTCTATTTCGTTATATTCATCACCCTAGGAATGTTCCTTCTCATTAATCTCTTTACTGCTGTGATTACAGACCAATTCACTAAGATGAAAGCATCGAAAGAGATAGGAGCTGGGGCGATATATTCTTCTGAATCTTATAAGCTATGGGTAGATGTTCAGAACTTATGAGTAAATGCATCACCAATCTCAATCACTACTGCTCCATTAAATGCGACCAGAAGGTATTTCTACAAGATATGAACAAGCACTTGGTTTGACCTGGTAGTTATCTTATGCATCGTGGTTAATACTTTGGTACTAGCTATGACTTATGCAAGAATGAGTGATACATACGCTCTTACTATAAGTATCTGTAATTACTTTTTCCTTGTGTTGTACAACATTGAATTCACTATCAAGGTAATTGGACTCGGAAAACAATATTTTACTAGAGACCCATGGAACATGTTTGACTTTATTTGCTTAGTTGGATCAGACCTATCCGTTCCTCTTAGTTTTCTCAATTTCTCAGGAATTCAGAGCATCTTTATCTTCCTGAGAGCTTTCAGAATCTTAAGATTACTGAGATTTATTCACCAATATAATGGAGCTAGTACGATATTGACATTTGTTCATGCAGCTAGCCAGATTCAGAATGTGCTGACATTGGTTGCTTTAATACTTTTTATATATGCAGCTCTTGGCATCAATCTGTTTGGGACTGTCATGTATAGAGATTACTATACTGATCAAAACAACTTTAGGGATATTGTTCAAGCTCTTATGCTTCTGTTGAGATGACTTACAGGAGAAGACTGGATTTATATCATGCATGACTTGGCAAGTTCTGACCCATACGAAGGTCAAGAGTGCTCTGCAAATCAATCTTATGAAGAGCTTCAGAGAGATGGAATTCATGGTTGTGGATCAATGGCTGCATATCCATTCTTCATATCTTTCTACATCATTAACTCAATTGTTATTTTAGATCTGTCTATTGGAGTGTTTATTGATGCTTTACAGGAAGCGAGAAAGTATAACAAGATTTTATTCGGAACACAGCAGCTGGAAGAATTTAAAGAACTCTGGTCAGATTACGACCCTAACGGGACTGGATGGATAACGGTTACCCAGATGCTCATGGTAATTTTTGAGCTTCCCTATCCATCTGGAATGGGTAAGCATAACCCAGAATACAGCAATAAATATCATTATGATTATGTACACAAGAAGATGAAACAAGAAAACATGTACTTGCTCTATTCTTTAAATAAGCATAAGGATCATGAGTTCTTCAGAAAGGATGAAATAAAGAAGAAATTCATAGATGGAAGCTTATACTACGTGAATGAGTCCAAAGGCTTTGCTATTAAAGACATGAGGGCATTAATCATACTGAATAATTATAAAGTACCTGTTTACGAAGAGAAGCTTGTCCACTTCAGAGATGTCCTACAACAAGTTATTAAAAATGCATTTGACTCTATTGGGGAGGACTACTTGCCTGATTTTAACATCCAACAGAAATTTAAGAAGAAATGGAGAATAAAGACAAATAAAAAGATTTTAACAGATGAGACGGATCTCTTCTTATCAGGAAGTATCTTCCTTGACCGTTACAGAAAATTCAGAGCCAAGGCTGATGATGATTGCAATGACTCACTTAATATTGAGGAAATGGAGTATTATGAAGATCTAAGATTCAGATTTGAGAATTTCCATGATGAAAGATATTACAAAAAGTAATTTTTACTACCTTACCTTGTAGGTTCCATTCACGAAATCCTTTTTATAAGGACCAGAGCAAAGACTCTGTCACAGGTAAGCATTAGAAATATTTTCTGAAGCTGACTAGTCTTCTTTAGAAAATAATCCAAATCTTAAAGAAATAATTTATGGCACTGATTACAGAAATCCCTTTAAAGATTCAATCTCAAGTGAAAGCGAGCATATTGGAGAATTTTTTAGAGAAGGCAGGCATCCTATTTAATACTTAGATTTCAACCTGTCGAGAGGAAATATGAACCTCATAAAAGATCTTAAGAAGAAAGACCATGACTCCTGAGATTCCTCCGTTAATATAGGTATGTCTTCTAATCCATGCAGATGATATAGACATTTATCCTGACAAAGAATTTCCAGAGGTTTCAGAGAGTTTAAACAAGCTAGGTAGTGAGAAACCCCCTGAATCAGTATTCTCGATGATGGTCAAGGAAGAGAAGAAAATGAAGAGAAGGAAATATTCAGAATAGTTCCATTTTGGATAATAATCATTTTATTTTAACCATACTCTCAGGTTCAACCTCCCATGCATGATCTGGGGTTTTGGGGTTTTGGGGTTTTGGGG